TAGTAGCCACTTTTTGATGCATTTCAATTGCTGCTGTAGTCAAATCTCTGAATTTCTTTGTTCAATGCTAGTAAGATTGCTTTAATGGGAAATATGAGAAGATTTCGGATGGGAGGAAAAAAACCTGCTCTCATGATAAAAATCAGACTAGCTCAAAAAGCTAAATGTCACTTTACCTTGCAATCTACTTACACTATCAGCAGTTTAAAATATGCAGTGTAAACCTGAAAAGGGGGAATTCATATGGTACTATGGATAAAAAGTGAGCAGTGTGAGATGCCACAGAAAACATATGAAATACTTGTGAAAGTATTCCACAGAATGATAATATAAGACGTTGGGCAAGAGGAATTAAAATGTATCAAAAATTGGGGAGGGGGAATCAACTGAATTAACACATGCAATATTCTCCATTGAATTTTAACACTGAAGTATACACCATATGCTTAAGGGAAGATTACTCATGCTTTTGACCATTTAAACTTACAAAACACTAATTGTTACTATATGTGACTAATATTTGATCTCAAACAAGATATTCAAATCATCTACACAGGAGTTACATTTAAAATCTGTACAGATATTCAAATGAAATAAAATGCTAGTTACAATTATAAACATGGCATTTCATATAATAAAACCTAAATTAAAATAATAAACATAGTATTTATCCAACTTTGCTGGCATCCCTTAAAAATTTATTTTTCCATATTTCTACAAAAATGATTGTTACTATATCATAATTCCTACAAAGTGTACATCAACTATAAAGATATAAAAGATTTGATATGTGTTCCTAATTAAACAAAACTATAGAATCTATTACCTACAAAAATGAAAAACTCACAGATGCCCCCAAAAAACTGTTCAAATGTTATAGGTCTTAAGTATATTTCCACTATGTCTCTATGTATAGTTAGAATAAACAAATGTTGCAATTGCTAAATCACAAAAAGATATATTCCTACCATAAGAAAAAAAAAAACAAAAGTTTCAATTACAAAGTAAAATCATACCACTGGGAAAAAATGTATTCAAGTCAAACAATAGAATTCAATACATAATGTATTGAATTAATCCATTAATCCACACATGCAAACATCACAAATTAAGGGTTTCTTAATCTGTATTGCCTTTAACCACCAATTCTAGTATCAACCTGGCCATAGGATTCAAGACAGTGATGTACTTATCAGAACCAAGAGGAAAAAAGTTTCCCTGACATTTCTTCTCAAATATGTCATCATTCTGAAGCTTCAAATGTTGACTTAAAGATTTCATTAATATAATAAAACAGGCATTCCACCCAGATTCATTTTAGTTGTTCCCAGAAAAACCCCCTTACATAAAAAAAAAAAAAACCACACACATTAAAAAAAAAAAAGGCAATGGGGGATGGTAGCATTTATTACACATGCATTATACATACAAAGCAATTGGAGTATTTGTTTGTTTTGTTAACATAATGAGCCAGTATGTTGTTGAACCTTCTTGAAGAATGAAACAAAGTAACAGGTGAGTTTATTTAATGCATACTTCTGATATACCTGTTTTACAAATCTTTTTAATGACTTTAAAGCAGTTTCTAAATTAAAAACTATATCACTGGGGGGAAAAAGCCAAGTGTTAGATTGCATAAGTATATCTTAATGCCTCCATAATGGATATATTTCCCAGTATATATGGTATATAAAAATGTTTCACATTAATAATTCTCACACCAACCACTGTTTTCTTTTTAGTCACATTCGTCACACTGTACAGAAATATATGAGTTCTTCCTCCCAAAGAAATTTTCTTATTGCCAGAAATCATTGGCAATTTTTAAAATAAAATCAGTCAAAATAGTATCAATTTCCTCCTAAGAAAACATATCCTGCTTATTTAACTTTTCATAACTTAATTACAAAATACTAATTTTTAAAATAGATTACTTGAAAATAATCACTTGTTTTTGCAAAATACAACTGAAAACCCATTTTACATTTTGAGGAACATTCTATGAGGTTTCATGGAATGCTTTCTCATAGTGAAAAATCTAATCTTCTCAAATCACCACTTAAAAATAGTAAGACTACATTTTCATACCCCTTGTAATAGTAGGTCACTTAGCTATAATTTAGAGAAAATTGAGAAACTTAAAAACATTTTTGCATTTTACCCTGCATTTTCATTTCAAAGGAAAATATTTTAAGTGCATCTCCTTACATTAATAGAAGTTCACTTGCTTATCTGGAAACATTTATCAGATATGAGTATTCAATTTGTAAATATGTGAACTGACCCTAAGTTTTTTGGGGGGAGGGAGGGGGAAGAGGGGAGGAGAGAGAGAGAACCAGAGAGAGAGAGAGAGAGAAGAAAAGAAAGGAAGGAAGAAAGAGAAAACAATGGCATGCTTTTTGATCTTGGCAAGAGATATCTTGGCATAGAAATCCATATAATGCAAGCAAATACCACTCAAGAGTTTCTATTCAAATAATAAGCTGTGAAGCAAGACAAGATTCCTACCAATCAAGAATACTACATCAACATGACCAAAGTTAGCAATATTCAGAAGGGTTTTCAGAAAAGTGTGGCAAAATGCAACTGTGAAGGGAATCTCTAAAAGTGCTGAAAAAGGCAAATTTAGCACAGCTTCTATAAGGAACAATGCCATTTACTAAAAGTGGAAGTAGTAGGGAAAATAATACTTCTATTTAAGAAAAAATTTTTTTTTTTTTATGGTGGTGGTCACTGTGAAGAAAGAAGATGAAGGAAAGATATGGTGTAAGTGGGAAAGACGAAGGTTGCTTGCCTGCCTTCGGTGATGCTAGGAGGGTAGACCCTCTGCTTTATGAAAACCACTGCCAGAACCAAGCTACACAAACACTTTGGCTGCCAGCCTAGAACAGTGCCAGGCTGGTTTTTTTTTTTTTTTTTGTGCTAGACTCCCTCAATTGAGACAGTGTGGGATTGTCACTTTGATGCACATACAGAACAAAGAATAATATAGTACAGAGGGGGGGATTTTTTTCTCCCCCTTTAAAGTCAGGTTAGCATTTTGTTTTCTTTGACAGGTCTTGAAAAGACCTAAGAAACAAAAATTATGCTGAAGAATATATCAATCGCCCAGAGAAATTAGAGTGAGTACAACATTGTCGACAGTTTAATAGCCATGGGAGAGATTAACATTTTTTAAAAGCAGACTTAAAGGAGGACACATCATATACTTACCTGCTTAAGAGATCAGAGACCAAGAAATGCACAAAAACATGATTCACAATCACATAATCTTATTAAAATCATACAGGATAAAGAAACGTCATAAAATCTGACCAAAAAGGAATGTAAGTGTTATCATTTTAGGTCACTAAAAACTTAGAGGCAACCCTCTAAGCTGCTATACTGACCTTGATTTCTTCAAAATCAAATAATCTGGTTAAAAGATTGCAACATCAGAATCTGAATATTTTATGTCTTAAAAGGGAAATACATGATAAAAACGTTCAAAAGTGTTTAAAGGATTAAACCACAAATCATCTAAAAAGTTGCCACAGACACAAACAGGAAAACCGTTTCTTCTATCCTATTCAATTCTGTACTTAGAAGCACAGCTAACACAGATGAGAACGTCAAGCGTGTGCTGTTGCAAGCTTTAAGTAAACACACTACCTGAATCCAGTTACTAAAAACTCCAATAAGTCATTAGCTCCTGCAGGAATGACCTTTTTCTCTCTAATGTGCAAGATAAGAAAAGGTAGAGGTATATTTTCCACAAACCAAATGAAAAGAAAGAATGAGCTGTGACAAACCCAGATCCCATGCTGGCATATTTTACACTAAGCTCAGCATCATCTAGAAGCAGTTTGCTTCTCCCTGCCAATCAGAGAGGGGGGAAAGTTGTGAAAGTAATACAGTGTTGATGAACAGCACTAGAGGTCTACCATTCCCTTCTTCCTGCACATCTCCATTGAATCAGCTGGTAAAAGAAGACCAACGGCTGTTACAGAAATAGCGAGAACTAAAGCACTTGCCTCAGATGTTACACATGAAGGCATGGAGCATTTACCACCTGAGCCTATCTAATTTCCCACAGAATGATCCCCTGCCCAGTTTTGTTCATGGTCACAGATTCTGATAGCAAGTCACGATAGGTGTTAGGAAAGGCAGTGGGGGAGGGAGAAGCTAGGGAAGAAAGCAAGTGAGAATAGTGGGGAGACTTCATACAATATACAGGCTTCTCATTATTCAAATTAGTGCCTGTGCATAACATTTGGGACAGCAAAACCTGTGGTAAAGATCTCAGGTACAATGATTTTATTCTGGGTGGCAAGGGTAAGTCAGTCATATAATCAAAGAATGAATTATTTTGCTCCTCACTGTTCTCCTTTTACATTTCCTTTCTTTCCTCTAGGATATACTGCTGATGCTATTACCGGGTGGGACACTGATAGTTGCAGGCAAGCCATTCATGTATTGCCAAAGTAGTCCAGAGAATAAGGTCTGGCTGGCTTTAGTTCAACAAGAAATATGAGGCAAACCCAGGAAGCAAAAAGAATGCAAGGTGTAGAAGAAGCGAGGCGATAGTCTGTTTTTTCTGTTTATTAATGATGCAGATGAAATGGGGGAAAATCTAGAAAAAGCAGCCAAGCTGACTGAATTACAAAGAAAGATTAAAGGAGTTAAATGTGTATAACTTGGCTGACAACCAAGGAACAATATGAGAGCTGTCCACAACTCTCCAAAGTATATACATAAAAAGAAGAGTGGAGAATTTTTTCTACTATAGAAGTGTGAATATATGAAACAATAATGAGATAAAATAAAAATAAAGAATTCCGACTTCAAGCAGCAGAGGAAGTAACCTGGTAAAACTTAAGAAAGACCGCTACCTTCCCTTTAGAAATATTTATCATCTTACTGACCGACAACGCAGTAAAGGGTAGTTAATTAGAAATGCTCACAGACTGCAAGAGAACTGAATTGATGGAGATATAAAAAATGAAGTCCCATTTGCTTACCTGATAATATAGAGATACTGATCTTTCTCTTTACACATGTCCGATCTGGTTAATGCACATGTACCTGTGAGATCACAAAGGATATAGCTAAGTTGTTATTCTCAAAATAAACCCAGCTGCATTCTGAATCCTGATATGAACAAGAACTGACTTAAATGGCTAAGTAGTCTAATTCTTAGATATTTCAAGATGGGAAAAGATGTTCGAAAATAAATATTGTTTGGAATCTTAACTAATAAGGGCTTTTGTCAGTCTTTCCAAGGATTTCTCAAATCAATAATTACTCTAGTAGAAATAATATAATTCAGATTAGAAGACCTTAGCCTTGGTATATAGATGGCCTTTAGGAATCTATGTACTTCTAAATAAGCAAAATTTGTGGACATATGTAAATGGATAGCCCTCTAGAGAGAAGGTCAATAGTTTGTAGATTTACAGAAGGTCTATAATCCAAAAAACTGTCAAGAACCTAAAAATCTCAGAGGCAGGTTGGAATGCATTCCGATAATATGTCCAGGTCTGGGATTCACCCCAGAGAAACAATGGAGGTGCAGACACTTACAGATTTGGGGTAAATACCTCAAGAACACTTCTCTCTGGGACAGCATTACATCAGGATTACACTGTTATCTAACTTAAACACTGTTCTCTACAAGCCACACACAGTAAAGCGAATAAGATGTTACCATACACCCAAGAGTTAATATTGTGGCTTTCCCCTTCTGTATATACTAAAGTCGGAATCCTTCCAGATGAGACTGACAGGGTCAAAACTAACATAGTAGTAACTCATCCAAAAGATGACATGACAAGCAAAAAGGAGGAGCTATCAAAGAAGTATGAAATGTGGTTCCCAAGCAGTTTATACAGCACCAAATCAGAGCCAAACATACCTGTTAAAAGAATTATGTAAAACTGTAATCACAGAGCAAGAATAACCTGTATCAGAAAGAAACAAGATTGAGAAATCTTCCAGGTACCAAATGAGAACAAGATGGAAAAGCATTCACAGTCACAGAGGAGCCCCTGAGCTGAAGTGTCACCAAAAAGAAAGAGAAGGGCCTCCCCAGTGGCGCAGCGGTTGAGCGCTGGGTTGCGAAGCTGCCCGCAGCCTCTGCAGCGCCAGTTCGATCCCCGGCTGCTCCCCAGCCACCGGAGGAGGGTCCCACATGGAGTGCAGACCTCTCCTGCTGCCCGCTGCTCCCCTCAGCAGTGTACCTCAGTCCTTCTGCCTGCTCTGCTCCCCGCTCTGGCTCTGGTGAATTCTCTCACCCTCTCACACTTCTGACTGTACCCAGTGCTTGTATGTATAAATAAATAAATTAATCTTTAAAAAAAAAAAGAGAAAGCCTGAAAAGATGTAAATCCAGTAAAAGATATGCCGGGGCAGCAGGGAGTGGGGGGATGGAGGGGAGGAGGGATATCTTATAAGATATCCTGTTTCAAATAATGATTATGTAGTATATTCTCTAAAAAAAACCAATGTATTGATTATTTAACTCCTGAGCATCTACCAGGCATTGTACCTGATCGTGAGAATTCAGCAATGAACTAGACAAAGTCTGATCAGCTGGAGCTTAATTTTGGTGAGGGGAAGGAAGACAAAGACAGATAAGCATATCAGCAATTTCATTTCAATTTGTAAAGCATAATATGAAAGAAATACACAAGAGGATGTGATAAAGAATGGCCTATATCTATGTAGGACATCACAGAGATGTTTATTCCAGGTTAGTCAGGGTGTAAGAAAGGACATTGAGAAAGGACATTCCCAGGGTCAGCTAATCAAAACTCTTCACTTCAGAGATGATACAGGAGAGCTATTCTGTAAGACAAAATATCACGACCTTCAGTATTTCTAAACTTCAAAAAATACACACGTCTAGACTCAGTCATAATTTTTTACTATCTGTCCTACCTTTAGAAGAGATACCTAAAAACAAGTAAATGAAGATTTCTGAATCTTTTTTTAATGGCCAAGGACACCGCACACATTGTACACTTAATATTTAACAGAGAACCACAATCGAACCAAATGCTTGACAAGTCCTATTCAATTAAGAGTTATGTTCTTTTTCTCCTACAGACAAATCTGATGAATCTGAAAGGTAAGTTGTGGGGAGAGGGGGAAAGCATGGCTGAGAGGATCTCAAAATCTTCTCTGTGAAATTCAAGCATTCAAGTGGGAGTCCCCACTTTTACTGTATTTGTACCTGGCATTTGACACTCCTGTCCACCAGACCTCTTTGCAACTCCCTTTCACTGTTTTCCAGAGCACCTCTGCCTATCAGCTCCCCTCTTGCCTGTGAATTTTCTCTATTAGATGCATCTAGCTTTATCAATACTTGCAAAATATCATAAAGTCTCCCTATGAGATAATAAAATACATTGTTCTCTGCCCCCAGTTCGGGACACAAAGCTCCTGAAACCCTTGTAATTTCCCAAGTGATAAGAACACCAGGAGCATCCATTCTTCTAATAATTATCTTTGTCCCAAGGACTCTGAAAACTCTTGTAAATTCCTAAGTGATAAGAGCACTAGGAGTATTTTTTTCTTCTATTGAGGTGACTCTGGGTAGGGTCCTGAATGGGGGGCTGTAACCAGAAAGACCAAGCCAGGAACAGAAACGTGAAAACTTCATCAAAGCCTTCTCCACCCCACCCCCCAACCTCCAGAGTATAGAAGAGGGACTAAAAAACAGAATAATTGACCAGGAGTACATGACAAAGCCTCCATAAAATCCCTATAGGATGGGGTTCAGGGTTTCCAGATATGAGAACACATTCACCCCAGGAATATGACACACCCAGTTCTACGGGGACTAAAGCCCCTGTGGGGAGCACCTTCTCAGACTCTACCTAGGTGTCTCTTGATCTAACTATTCATCTGTCCTTTATCATATCCTTTAACAAACAGGCAAACTTAAGTGTTTCTGTGAGCTCTGTGAGAGACTCTAGGAAATTAATCAAACTCAAGGAAGGGGTGATGTTTTGAGACCTACAGTTTACAGCAAGTTGGTCAGAAGCACAGGGATGATGGCCTCGAACTGGATTCCACACACACACAGAGTGTGTGTGTGTGTGTTTGTGTGTGTGTGTGTTTTGAGGGGTGGGAGGAAACAAGGGGGCGATCCTATGGGACTGGGACCTTAACCTGAGATCTGACTATCTCCAGGCAGAGAATATCAGTATTGAATTAAATTGTAGGACACCTAGCTGATGTTGCAGAGAATTGCTTTGTGTGAGGGAAAAACCTTCACACATTGGGGCCTCCCCAGTGGCACAGTGGGTTGAGCGCAGCACTGTGAAGCTGACACACAGCCTCTGCAGCATGGGTTCAATTTCCGACCAGCCAGGGAGATACCCACATGGCACGGCAGACCTCTCCTGTCTGTCTCACCCACTACTCCCCTCAGCAGTGCTTTTGTCAGTCTGCCTGTTCTCGCTGCTCTATCTCTGGTGAATCTTCTCACCCTCCCACGCCTCTGGCCTGTACCCCAGCTCTTGTATAAATAAAATAAATCTAAAAAACAAAAAAACTTTCACATATTTAGTGAGCAGAAGTGAAGTATTTTGTGTGTGTAGTAAAGGAGACTCACAGGAAAAAAAAATACATAGTCAGGAAGAACTCAGTGTTTCCCTACACAGGAGAAAAACTGAGCTTTTCATTTACACCTCCCTAATTTAAAAGGACAAATTTAGAAATAGTTTATACTCTCTAACTGTACTATCCAACACTGCAGCCACTAGCTACATGTTCCTATTGAGCACTTGAAATACAATTAAACCAAAATGAGATGTGCTGAAAGAGTAATATACACAATGGATTTCAAAGACTAACTGCAAAATCGAGAATGTAAAATATATCTAATTTTAATATTGATACATGTTGAAATGACAGTAATTTAGACATTGGGTTAAATAAATTAGCAAAATTAATTACATTTATTTTTTTTTACTTGGCCACCAGAAAATTTTTAATTATTGCATTATAATTCTTTTGAAGAGTATCACTCTACATGTGTGCAAAAAAAGTGGGGAAAATCACACACTATGTTCAATTAACAAAGGAAGAAAAAACATAATTGATTTTGTTTTTTTAAACTCATCACCCACAGACACAGAACTTTTTATTTTACCTTGAGAGCTAATAGACTCATTGCTATTATTTTCAAAAGAAGACTATGTCCTGAAATCAAAATCTACAGATACTCTATAAAACATGTTCACTTTTATAATATCAAAAATACTAAATTAGGGGGCATCCTTGGTGGCCTAGGGGTCAAGTCTCAGTGATATCACCACTGGGCCTGAGTTTGATCCCCAACCAAGAAGCTGACCCACATGGTGCAGCATACCTCTCCTGTCTCACTGGCTGCTCCCCTCTGCAGTATATTTCAATAGATCTGCCTGTTCTACTCCCTACTCTGTCTCTGGTGAATATTGTCACCCCCCACACCTCTGGCCTGCACCCCAGTTCTTGTATGCATAAATAAATAAAAAAACTAAATCTTTTGGGCCTCCCCGGTGGCGCAGCAGTTGAGCGCTGGGTTGCGAAGCTGCCCGCGGCCTCTGTGGCGCCGGTTCGATCCCCGGCTGCTCCCCGGCCACCGGAGGAGGGTCCCACATGGCGCGCAAACCTCTCCTGCGGCCCGCTGCTCCCCTCAGCAGTGTACTTCGGTCCTTCTGCCTGCTCTGCTCCCCGCTCTGGCTCTGGTGAATTCTCTCACCCTCCCGCGCTTCTGACTGTACCCAGTGCTTGTATAAATAAATAAATCTTAAAAAAAAAAAAAGAAAGAATAAAATATTAAAAAAAAAATCTAAAAAAAAAAAAACTAAATCTTTAAAACCATCTACTAAATGATCTATTTAAAAAAATATTAAATTATATCCTATAAGTCAAATGTAATCAGAAGAGTATCATAAAATACAAATAGCCAACCTCTGACATGTGTTATACAGCTATATATTATATAATTCATTCATCCCATCTTTAAGAAAACTAAAGCAGAAATAACTTGTCATATTTTTAGGCCTCAAGCCTAGGCAATGTGGCCCCAGAAT